TTCTGCCGAGGCCGGAGGCTGTGGCCGGGGCGGGTGCGGACGCGGTGCCGAGCGACGCTGTTCTCTGTCTGTTCTAGCACTCGGGCATAAATAGCTCCAATGCGGAGGTGCTGGCTCTGTTCAATGTGACGGAGGCGGACGCGGGGGAGTATGTGTGTAAGGTCTCCAATTACATAGGGCAGGCCAACCAGTCCGCCTGGCTCACGGTCCTGCCCAAGCAGCAAGGTAACGACGTCTCCGGTTTTTCCTTCTTTTATTTTTTTGTGTTTTAAGAAGGCGGATGTAGACGCTGAAAGGACTTGGTGCTTTGGAAGCCGGCAGGCAGCTTCTAGGATCCTCTGTGGCCTCGGGATGTTCGTAACCATCTTTCTTGGGTGACGCGGCTGGCGGGTGCCGGCAGCCATGGAACGCGCCCACGGTGCTCGCAGCGCCCGCTCTGGTTCCTTCCGAAGGCCCCCCGCCCCCACCCCAGTGTTTAAATCATTCGTTCCTTCTGGGGCATCGAGTTTAGGCTGCACAGACCCCATCATCGCGGCACGTAAACGCCGTTTGAAACGCATACCTGGGTGCCCGTTGATGGCGTGGCATCGCGGATCCACTGCAGTCACACCTCCTCCGGCCCCCGATTTTTAGAGAAATACGGGCACGGTGTCATCTGTCCGACGGGCATCGTTTCTTTGGTTGTATAACTGATCCTGTGAGATGCTGCCCTTGACCTCGGTGTCCTGACCTTCGTGTCCTGGACCTTATTGCCCTGACCTTGTTGTCCTGACCTTGCCCTGACCTCAGTGCCCTGGACCTTGCTGTCCCCGACTGGAGGCAGCCCCCTTAGTGAATGTCCTGGGGAGCTGCTGAAGGCAGCAGGTGGCTTCTGTCGTCAGCCATGACTCACATTCAAATGCTTAGTTAAAAAAGGGAGCAAAAAAGCCCAGTTCTTTTGCTGCCAAGATCCAGCTTTTCCTTCCATTTCGTTTCCACGCTGTGGAGGTCAAGGTGGTGGACTCGCGTCCCAGTGACCGAGCCTGGCAGCCAGGTGACCTCCTGGCTGGTCCCCAGGGGCCGGAAGGACGTGCCTGTGGAGTTCCGCTCTGCACCCCAGCCATTGAGACAGGCCCACCCTCTCCTCGAGGCGGGAGTCCGCAGCCCACAGAAGGAAGCCCCACATGGACGCGGGGTGCACACGTGTGGGGACCCCTCCCCGCCTCCCAAGGCCCCTCCACCTCGTTCCTGTGTCGTCTACCTTCTCTCTCGCTCCCCTGTCTTCTAGGCCGCCGGGGTTAACACCACGGACAAGGAGATTGAGGTGCTCTATATTCGGAATGTAACTTTTGAGGATGCGGGGGAGTACACGTGCTTGGCGGGTAACTCTATCGGCATCTCCTTTCACTCTGCATGGTTGACAGTCCTGCCAGGTACATACCGCCTGCTCCCGCCTCGACTGGGTGTCCTGGGCGTGGTCCCCCTTCCTGGTTGGGTGCTATGGCGTCAACACGCTTCTGTCCTCAGAAACCGCCCCTCGCGTCTTTGCAGAAAGACTTGGAGAATGTCCACGACCCTCCCCCAGGATAGACGCCGTGGCCTGGGAAAGTCACGTGCAGTGAGGCCCCACGTGCACGCGCACGGTCACGTGACGTGTCTCCCGCCCCCAGGGGACCTCACGCTCTCCGTGGGCCACGGAGACGACGTGGAAAGTCGCCCCCCATCCCCGCGTCCCTTAAGGCGTGGAAGTTACGTGGTAGCACGCAAAGTAGTTTGCTTTTCTCATTTTAAACTCCATTTTGCTCTGTACGTTGGCTCCACGTTCCCTTTTTAACGAGACGTGAACAGACGGCGGGCGTCGCGGCGCC